ACCTGGCAAGTATTCGCCGCTGGAGACACCGTAGCATATAGAGACGGGTATCTTTTCGAATACATATATAAATAAATAAATAAATACGAGAGTACTCACTCACTATATACGTTTACTACATAAATAACAAATCTTGCCGAAGAATGAGACTTCGTCGTTCTGCATCGGGAAGATTATTAATCTCGCTCCTTAAAATCTCAAGTATTTCTAAATATTTTTCAGTGTTCAGATGCTATTCGTAAAAATGTAGTAAGAGAACCCGGGTTTTCACAATCCCACACCAACAGTTGAATGAAAAACGCACTTGATCATTGGTCTCGCGGATTCGTAAGGGATTCTGTCTGGACCAAATACGATTATTACGCCGGTTGTACATACCATTGTTATTGAAGGTTGACTCGTCTGATCAAATAATATTAGTCAGGAAATTTTGATTCTGACGAATGAGCCTCTCGATTTGGTGGCAGAAAATAAGTCGTCTTTCGGCATCACCCGGGCGTAATTTTTGAAGTAATCGCCCTTCAACATAACTCTTGAATTTGTATTTTTTCAATATGCGGTGTATTTTGCTTTTTGAAATTCCAATTTCTTCTTCTCCTTCCCTCACTGAATTCTTCGGGTTCGCCTCAAAGTAAATCAAAATGTCGAGTTCATCATTGTTAACGTTTATCATTTGGTGCTGTGGCTGTGGTACGCGACGATGAAATCGTCCTAATTTTTTCAAATTATCCATCAACCTTTTCAAAATAAATCGAGATGGTGTTTCTCTATCGGGATACCATTCGCGGTACCACTGCAAAGCTAGTGATTATGTTTTTGTGGTTCATATAGTATGCTTCCATTAAATCCAAATTATGTTGATACGCCATGGTAAGTAAATTCACACAACAATTGCAATGCAAGAAATCGATAAAAAAATGCACTAATAAAAAACAAAAGAATACATAGACGTTTGAAAATGGAACACATTTTCAAATTATTATTTTATAATTAGCCAGCCGCTTTGTGATTGTGAATTTCCTTATTATTTTATCATGCACTTATAATAGGGAAATGATATGTATTTCTCAAGTTTGTACTCATTAGTAATTCTTTTAAATGATAATGTATGTTGTTATGAGCGCGGCATAGTCAGAGAAAAAGTTGTCCATTTTCCTGAACAAAATTTCAAATTAAAGTGAAATTTCATAGACTTCCTTTTATTTAAGATGTTATGTTATTTAGAAGAAAACAATCCTTATGATTGAGTCTTTCGATCAGTATAATAAAATTACAGGTGGTTTTTTTTTT